TTTAAAAAATTAAATAAATTAATTAAATAAATAAAAGAGGTGAGCCCAGATAAAATTTAACAAAGTAATTATGAACTCGTATTTGGGGGAAACACACTTGTACAAGCACATGAGTGGAATAACGAGACAGTTAAGAAGCGAATCTTCAGTTTATTTGTAGAAATGTAGTATATGAAAGCACTAATGTGTTCCTTTTGGAAGAGGCCACGGACAGGACGTGGCCCCAGTAGACCCATGAGCTGGCTGCAGGCAATCAGAGGCTTGTCACCCCCTCTCCTGTCCTTGGAATGTACGTTCTGCCCACTGTTCCCACAGTGGGAATCATTTTCGAGGACACAGCCTTGAGAGAGCCATGTGTTGTTGAGACCATCTGGATGGTGTACGTGACTGAACACAGTTAAGGCCTCTATATCAACACTTAAGATTCTGGCAGGCGGGTGTGGAGATCTACATGTCTTGCGGTTGCCCAAGACAAGCCTTGTAAGGAAGCTCTTTTGCTTATTACACCGGCCGCCTACCAGTCTGGAGTGGCCTGCCTCTTCCTCAGTCTCCCCTTGCCCTCTGTGTTCGGGTGCCATTTTATGAAACAAAAGTTCCACGCACGTCAGATCACACCTCCTTCATGGTCTCATTTGTGCATGTTCCACTTTACAGAAGCATCCGCACCAGATACAGCAAAAGTACTCAGGGAATCAGGGTATTAAAGTCTTGAAGTTGTAACACATGAGGAAGAGATGATGGGAACGAGAATATTTATCTTGAGAAGTGGAGAATTATTTGGGGTGTATGTAGACAGGTAGTGGGACTGGGAAACACACACATTATATCTTAAAATATTTTGAGTAAGGCTCATGGCCAGGATGTTATTTAAAATGACCTCCAGGAGTAGATTTGAAGTCAAGGTGTGAGAATGTCAGAACTGCTCTCAGAGAGAGATGTGTTCCCCTTAATTTTTGTTTTCTTCTGGGTCTACCTAATCATTCATCAGGTGTGTTGTACATCGTCAAAAAAATTAATCTTGGACCATACGACCTTTAAAAAAATCCCTTGAGCCCTGAGATTCTATGATTTTTGTGACCTGAGGACTCAAGGACTACGTTTAAAGACTAGAATGCTTTCAATCATGAACTTGATTCCAGATGCTGGAAGTCCTCCCACCCAGCATCCAACTCAGGCACCCTCCACTGTGCATCCAAACCATGGCCTTTTCCCTAGCACTACCCCGAGGTCTGAAAGGTCAGTGAGTAACTCAGGACCTTCCAGGCAGAAATTGGGCTCTGTACCCACCCTCATTAGGATGCACGTTCTTGAGTTTCTGCACTCCAGGAGAGAGGAAGAGTAGGCGCTTCCAAGGCATTTAGTACTCCGGCAGAAAAAAGAAAATAAAAGTTTGCTGAAAGGAGAAAATTTTAAGCTATTCGTTTTATTTTGACAGAGTTCTGTGGGTCCAAGACTTTCTACTGAGTCACCAAGCCAGCCACGATATAACTATTTCAACTTACTGGGAGTATTATTTCTGAGTCACAGCAAGTAATATAATGATCTGAACACGTAAATGCTTTCTGTCACCTAGTACATCCGATCTTTATTTCACAGCTGCACGCTCAGTAATGATGATATTCCTCGATGCACACCACACTGTGTGAAAATACCACAGGGTAAAAAAAAAAAAAAGTGTCTAATTCATGGAAGAAATGTTCAAACACCAGGTCCCTATTTCACAGTGATTCTTTTCTCCCCCTCCGAAAATACGCAAAAAGTAAGTAAGACATGACTCATTTGTTACAAGTCCCATGTTTTCCCTGCAAATTCCTAGTCAGGTTTTGGAATTGATGCTTCCCTTCTACTATTCCCATATTCTCTGAGTCACCAAGGTTTTTAGATGTTGGCAGGAGAGCTTGTTCCTATGTCCTCATAGGGTTCCACGTGGCTAGGAAGGAATATCATGCCGGAAGTTGAACCAGGAGTGAGTGTAAGTACTACCCTTAGATCTAGGCATCCATGGCCCCAGCCTGGGGCCTTGTGCTTTGCAAGGCTTCTCAAATTATGAGGTGCAAATGGATTTCTTAGGATATTGTTAAAGGCACCCTGTGATTCAGTAGGTCTGGAGTTGGGCCTGAGAACTTGCATTTCTAACAATTTCTGTCTCTCCTCCAGACACGCCCCCTCCCCACAGGATGAGTAGTTCATGTGACCAAGGGAACTTGCCAACCCAGAACTTATGTCACTCCCTCCCAACCACACTCTGAGTTATCTGGAACTCCAGAATTCCCTGTCTAGACCCCTTTCTGGCCAGTGCACACACTTCCCTGGTCTGTCCTCCCGATGGCAGATCCCCTCAACAGCATTAAACCCCTGGGTTTGAGGGTTGACAAAGGGTCAACCATTTGGAGGAGGATTAGCTATGTGGGCTAGCGTGTGGCCCAGGCCCCCCTTGTACAGATGGAGATTGGGGAAGTAGGAGAAAAGGGTGGGCTCTGTTCCGAGGAACTTCTTTGTCTTCTTGCCTCAGGAGGCGAATGTTGGGGGTAGTCTTATGTCTGTTTGGGTAAGTAACAGGAAGAAATCCCATCCTTTTACAGCTTATCTGGATGTTGAAACCACAGACCTGCAGCTTGGACGGTTCTAGTTGGTGAGGAACTTTGCATCTAAAGTGCTTAGAGCAAAGAAAGAACGTTTTCTACCTTTTCATGCAACGCTCCACGACACTCCCCGGGTGACCACACAGTGTAGGAGACAGTGTATGGGGCTTTGAGGGTCCCACAGCCTTCAGCTGAACCCCCACTGTAACTTCCTACATGAATCTGAGCAAGGCAGTCACTCTGAGCAAGAGGTCATTCTTTGCCCTTGGTCTCTTGATCTTTATCATGGGAGTAAGAATGCTTCCCTACTCTATTCTACCCCTTCCCCATATGCACCCAAATTACTCCTCTTCATCCCTCATCCTTTAACTCAAATGCCACCATCTTGAGTAGATCAGGCACCTCCTGCTAAGCTGGAAGTAACTGCATTCCTCTTCCTTTGCACTTTGTCCTTTTGTATTTGTGTTCTTGATGAATGTCCACTAGCCCCCTGGCTTCCAAGAGCAGGGATCATGTCTCTTGAATTCTCTAGTTGTGTCCTCTCCATCTGGTACATGGCCTGGCATCTGATAGATGCTAAACCTGTGTTTGCCAAATGAGTAAATGAATGTGTGGTTATTGTTAAAATTAGAGATAAAATACACTAAGTGCCTGACACAGAGTAGGTGCTTAATCAGTGACACTGATGATTTTTCAGTGCAGTCAGCACCTTAATCAGACATTTTATTTTGTTTCTTCATACTCTGTTCATGGGGGAGAATGGGGTGAATCTGGGACAACTACAGTTTGAACCATCCAAGACAAGAAGAAAAAAATGTGGTGTGATAAACTCCTGGCCCAAACAGCCAGGAGCATGACATACTTTTTAAAGGCTTAAGAAGTGAAAGATCCATCATTTGAAAGAGAGAATAAAAAGTACAGGAGAAAGTTGTATTGGTCCATTGTGCTTGCCCCCCCAACCACTCATACCCCAAGCAGTACACCTTCTTACAAAGCCTCTGGTGAAAGTAATTCCCCACCCAAGTGCTCACACCCACATTGTCACCAGCCGCCCCCTTCCCCTTCACATCTAGGGGACTACTTTATCTGTCTCTTTAATATCATCCAGCCCAAATATTCCCTTGTCAAATATTTCTGGGGCCTACACTTGAAGAAAGAGACGATTTTCATAAATCTGCGAGCAGGACCTTTTTTTTTTTTTTTTTAATGTCAAAATAAACCATCTGCTTGTACAACTGTTTCTAATTACTTCCCTGCCTAGACTCTGCACTTGAGGGGTTTGGTACCAGCACCCCGCCCAGAGCGGTGCCGCTGCCCAAATCCTCACAGGCAGCTCATCACGGCACTTGCGGCTCCGGGTAGAGAGGCCCGACCTGCACGCCCCGGTGTCTGTGTGTCCGTCTGCAGGCGGCCTGCGGGTGGCACCTCTCCCTGCCGCGGCCCCCCGGCCCCCCAACCCCCCCATCGGGAGCCCCACCCAGCAGGAGCGCAGCTCTTCCGCACAGCCCCGGAGCTCAGCATGCGTCCCGCCGCCTTCAGGAACTTCTTGCTGCTGGCGTCCTCCCTTCTCTTCGGGGGGCTCTCAGCTGTTTCCCAGAGCTTCTCGCCATCTCTGAGGTAAGTCTGGTTTGTTATTCTTTGAGAGGAACCTGCCCTGCTTTGCGTGGCAGGGCTCAGGTCTGCAGGATGGCTGCCCTAAGCCAAGCGCAGTTAGAAAGTTGGACCCGGGATAAACTGTTTTCAACCTGTTCCTATTCCTTTCCGTCTATCTGCACCGTCTGTTGCTTCATGTCTGTCCTTTTACTTTTCCTTCGGGAAAATACCGTGAATAAATATAAATATTTAACTTCTTCCTATTTTAATAACTACCAGGAGAAACTTCTGCCATGAGACTAAGGTAATCCTTTGTGTACCTGGGGTGTGCTCGTACCCTATAAGGCAGAATATTTCACAGGGTCTGTATTACATTATTGTATTGCATTTTGAAAGAGACTGTGGGACACATAATGATAGCTAAACTTTTTAAAAGTATCGTTTCTAAGCACTGCTCAATGCAAATTTTCATAAAACGGCTGCCCCTGGCCATCAGCTAGCAATGGGACTTTTTTAAAGAGTACTGAAAAGTCAGCCAAATGTCATACTTTGCATTCATTTGCATTTAATCTAAATGTGCATATAAGATTCAGTGGCAAGCCACCAAGAGGCAGGGCTGGATCACCTCTGTCCACTTGGAAGGCAGTCCTATTCCTAGGTGTGCAGGTCACCCCTCAGACATTTTGGGTCATGGTCATTTCTCTTGTGGTGGCCCATGGGTGGCCCCCAGAGGAACGTGGAACCTCAAACTTCCTTCCTGTGAAGTTGGACGTCGCCACACAGGGGTGCACTGGGGGGAAACGGCGGCTCCGAGTAAATGGGGCAGTGTCTGCTCTTGACCGTGGCCCTGCTGTGGTTTGTCGCCCTTGCAGGAGTGCGACTGGTGCCGCGTGCAGGCTGTCCCGGGCTGAGTCGGAGCGCCGGTGCCGGGCGCCCGGGCAGCCCCCAGGGGGCGCTCTGTGCCACGGCCGCGGCCGGTGCGACTGCGGGGTCTGCATTTGTCACGTGAACGAGCCCGGCGTGTACTTTGGGCCCCTGTGTGAGTGCCACGAGTGGGTGTGCGAGACCTACGACGGGAGCACCTGCGCAGGTAAGGGGCAGCCGGCGCACTGCGGGCGTCCGGGCTTCCGGGGCGCACTGCCGGCGGGGGTTTCTGCCACTTCCCGGGGAGAGCCTCAGGCGGACCTCTGGGAAGTGACTGCCTTCGCGCAGGGCTTCCTAACGCTCCGCCACTCTGGGATCACGTGCTGCAATACTTTCCTCCGCCCTAGGGTCCGAACTGAAGTGGAAATAATATTGGTTAAGATTCACTCACTTAATGATAACTCTCCTTATTACAGACTAAACCTCCCAACTTCCTCACAAAGGAAGTCAGTCTGGTGGGCTCCTCTACCCCAATCACGAATGTTAGTCGCATTTGCAGAACATAAGCCTGGATTTTCTTTTTACCAAGGAAAAGCAGGAGAATATTATTTTCCCAAATTCCGGGGTTGGGGGGAGCAGGTTGTGTCTTTGATTTGCCTTCTTATTCTTAGGGTATAGTTCACTGATAGCAGTGTGTATCAGAGAACGATAACAAGGAAAAAAGTAAGCAGATCCATACTGACTTAGAAGCGATTGCTGTTGTATTGGTTTAGCTGCTTGGATTTTTCAGCTGCAGTGAAACTTGGTGTTTTTGTAAGGGTGCAGTAAAAATAAATTCATTTCTCTTGTACATTTTTAAGGAGTGATTGAGGTTGTGATTTTGGAATGGGTCAAGATACTTCTTGGTAGAGAACACCCCTCGCCTATAGCAGTTTCACAGGGACATGCCATTTACTAGGGCCAGACCCTCGGTTGGGTCACTGGGAATGATGCAGGCCCTCCGTTAGTAAAAGGACAACACGATGCATTCCAACCAGGGTTTGGCAAATTTGTAGGGGGAAAAAAATGCACAACTTGTTTTACCCAGGATGTCGTTAAGAATAAGAGTCCAACACTAACAGAGGTGAAGAATGAGTTTATAGCAGAATGGTTTTTCCTGGGCCCCTGGGCCCAGAAATGCATAGTGAGAGTATTTAATATGCATACCGCTTGGCAGTGGAAAGTAATCATGTCAGTAATTTGGAGGGGCACAGGTGCTTCTCTGTGGCTGGTTTACCCTCTAAAGGCTGGGGCTCAACCCTTTAAAAAATTTTTTTTTAAAATTTATTTGACAGAGAGAGACACAGCGAAAGAGGGAACACAAGCAGGGGGAGAGGGAGAGGGAGAGGGAGAAGCAGACTCCCAGCCGAGCAGGGGGGGCTCAACCCTTTAAAAATACTGAACACCACAGCTCGTTATTTTAATGGTGTCCGTCCCACAGGCTGCAGTATTATTAAGGGCAGCCCTTTGGAATGAAAGCTAAGTATTGTCTAATATTTCATTCCAAATCTGACTGTTAACGTGGCTTCTCTTGGCTTATACTCCCTCCGGCAGGGTCTCTTCAATATCATGAGTTCCGAACACATTTTTTCAGTGCATTTTTGAGTTGTTCTTTCATTGGAAAAGTAAGAGGTAGGACGCAGTCTTCAGCTGGCGAAACTAGTTATGAGTGCCATCAGATAAAACTTCCCCGTTGAAGAAGCTTGTCTGGGTCCTTTCTGTGAAGCTCTGCAGAGGGAATGCTATGGCCTATAGTGCTCTTGTTGGTCCCCCATGGAAAGTGATTTGTTGTTTACCCTTAACATCTTAGTCACTGCATTCTTTCCTCCCTGATACAAATGCAGGACTGAATCATGCATGGTTTTGTTTGCATATGTACACATTCCCGTGGAAGGTAAGATGCTTCTCTTTATTTCAAGGCTGAATGAAATAACTGTGTTCGTTTTCCATTCTCCTCTTTGTGACTGATGACCATCGAGGCCTGCTCCACCGGGCCTGGTGCGGGATCTGCCCCTGCAAATGCTCTGAGATCATTTGCCAGGCCAGTGCGATCTTTCCACACAGCATGGTCATGGGGCTGCCTCAACAACTCGCCTACTTGTTCTGCGCTTCAAATGTAGCTTCTCAATTCTGCCTTCAAGAAAAAGTTCCTATGTTGTAGCTAGTAAGACAGAAACATAGCAGGTTGTCTTCTATGCTTTTATGTGCACCTGGGCCTTTACCTCTGTGGGGTGTTCTAGAAATAGAGTAGCTTTCATGGACCTCCATACCCCTTTGAGGAAAATAAAACCCTGCTCTGATAGTGTATCATAGAATGGTTAATCCTCTGGGCTCTGGGGGAAGATTTCCGGGAGTCAAATCCCAGCCCCACCACGTAACAGCTGTGTGAACTTGGGTGATTACTGAAACTTTCTGAGCCTCGATGTCTTCATCTATAAAATGGGAATAACAACAATACCTACCTTACAGGATTGTTGTGAGCTCTGGCGCATGTAAAACTCTTAGAATAGTGTTTTTCACAAAGTGCTCAATACATATAAATATGCGTATAGGCATATAACATATTATTATAGATGCACAAAGGTGAGCTAGGATGGATGGGTGGATGGGTGGACGGATGGGTGGATGGGTGGATGGATGGATGGATAGATAGATAGATAGATAGATAGATAGATAGATAGATAGCCTAACTTTGTATTTGTTGGACATTTGATGCAGTGAGAGCAATTTTCTTAATGTAGCCTGGGCCTGTTATTGATCCAAAGCTAAAAAGGTCGAGCAAGGATAGCTATTTTGGCCCAGCCTCAGAGCAGCTCTATTAGATACACCATGCCCTTTTAAAGTTGGGATAAGAATCCATTGGGATTCTTATACTGTGAATCATAAGAAAGATACTTGTTTTAGTTTGAGCCTGGTCAAAAGTGATTACATTTATATTAATGTATAACTAATGTATAATCCAGTGTCTACTTGTTCATGGCACATGAATCTTCCTTGGACTTTTATAGTGTAAAGGTCTGGCCCAGAGATTATTCCTGTGTATGGGGTGGTCAAATGAAAAGTAAACTAATTTGGGTGGAATATTTCTTTGAGAAGAGTACAGTGTTTGGTTACAGAAGAACAAACTTTCAGCTAATATTGCAAGGCATCCCTGAATAACCCCCTTAACAGGTATGATTATACTTAAATAAAATATTGTGTTCTTTTAAGATCTTTTCTAATCACTTTTGAAATATATCACTTAAAAGAGTTTCCGTTTTAGTGACTAGGAAGAGCTAATTGAATTAAACTTAGCAAATACTTATGAGGTGCTCTATATTTACTAGACTCTGCTGTTGAAGGGGTATAAAGATGAAGACAATATGACAACTTCCCATTGAGTAGGGAGATGAAAATACCAAATACCTCTAATGCAATGCAGAATATCATTTCTACAAATTTCTATGAGAGTTTTATTGAGGCAGGAATTAAATATTGTGGCTAAAGTTCTTGAGAAAGAGGTAGCCTTTGACATAAATCTTTATGCATAGGGAGGTTTTTAGTCCAAAACGTGGACTGTTGGAATTCTGAGGGAAGAAAAATCCAAGCAGTGGTTTAGAGGCAGAAAGGCATGTGGTGAGTGTGTTTGGGGACCAGTGAAGTATTCTAGGTTTGGCCTGGCTGGATCTTGGGGCTGTGGGGAAAGTAGTTGTAGATATTTTGAGTTACAGTTGCACACATTGTTGAGAGCTCTGAACTTGAATGTGAAGTTTGTGCTTATCAGAGCCATGGAGTGGTTTGAACATGGGAGCTTTGATTAGTACTCTGACTCATGAAAAGTGACAGGGTAGGGTGCTGGAGGGCAGGGGAGGTTGGGGTAGACACTTGATGGGGATGAGCTCAGTTTAGAGACTATTTCAATTCTAGCCCATGGGAGAGAGTAAGATAGAACAATGATGAATTTTAAAGACTGTTGAAAATACAATCAACATGCTTTAGAACCCAAGGATGAGTAAGATGGTCAATCAGTGACTGGGCATAGGAGAGAACTGATAGAGTAAGAGTCAGGAGAAAGAACCAGATAACTCCTAATCAGTGGCTAAGACTCTTTACTAAGGAAAGAAAAATGCTTATTTTTAATCTGAAATTGCTATAAAATGAAGAATTATCAGTAGCAGAATGAGTCTGGACTTGACTGGCAGTGGATCCAGGACTAGATGGATCACGTCTGAACTGTTAACTTGGGTTCAATTGCTTATATCCTTAACCTTGAGCCAGTCATCTGATTTCTCTGAAACTTAGATTCTTTTTTTTTGTAACATCTTTATGGATATAAAGAACCTTGTGTCCTGCACTGTATTATTCAGAATAATTTTTATGTTTATGTATAAATACATTTAATATCCATGTAATTATGCATTTATACATTTATTCAGACTATGTATAAAACATCCTTATAAACATTGATTTATGTACATAAACATACACAATATACAAATAATTAAAATACATGGAAACACCCCTAATATATAAATATTAACAATTTTTTTCTTGCAGATATTTTTGACTTTTACACTGCTAAATAAATAGTATGAGAATTGCATGTGATTATTCATGAGAACTGGACTTTCTGGCTCTTTATAGTCTGTCTTAGGACTGATCTGCTTTTCCTTACAGTTGTGTTTTTCTTGAATAGTTGAGTAATTCCCTCCAAGCCTATTTTGCGGAATCACTCTTCGGTTTTTCCTTTCTTAGTTATTTTCCATTTTGCACCTTCTCTGCCTTCCTTCAAACCATATTCTAACTTACTTGCCCCCTCCTTTAACTCTGTCCAGCTCCCCTTGGTACTTCCCATTCTTGCTTCTTCTTTATATCCCCTCTGCACCCCTGTGTGGGGCACCACACACGTAAGAGCACTGTCTGTTCTTTAACACCCCGTCCAGTAAACGATTGTGTTGAACAGACTCACTGCAGTTTCCACATTGCTTCCATTCATGTGTTTTCATCATGGTCTTAACATGTCCATAGTTTTGGAGAACATACTCAGGAGTTCCCTACCACTAGCTCACTCCCTTCATGCGGGCCTCTTTTTTTTGTGAGTTCTACACTCTTAAGCTTATCCATTTTGGATAAATGCACCCTCTCTTACCTCAAGTGACACATAAAAATGATTTTCATCTTCACTTCCTCTCAACTGTACTGCTTTAT